CCACTTTCCGCAGAGGAAGACTCCAAAAACAGAGAGGTTAAGTCTCTTTCCCCAGGCCACACAGCCAGAAACTGGAGCAGCCATGAATTATTTTTTAAATACATTTTTATTGATTTCAGAGAGGAAGGGAGAGGGAGAGAGAGATAGAAGCATCAATGATGAGAGAGGATCATTGATCGGTTGCCTCCTGCATGTCCCTCACTGGGGCTCAAGCCCACAACCAGGCATGTGCCCTGGCTAAGAATTGAACTGTGACCTCCTGGCTCAGAGGTCGATGCTCAATCACTGAGCCATGAATTATTTAAACCCAGAGCTCTCTGACTCCAGGCAGAGGGTTGCTTCGGTGTAGAAGTGTGTCAGGACCCAAAAGGCCCCTAATCTACCCTCCAGAGAGACTGCCCAGGCCTGGCCAGTGTGGCCCGGTGCTGTGGTTAGAGCTTGGGCCTGTGCACCAGAAGGTCTGTGCTCAGTTCCCTGTAAAGGTTGTGTACTTGTGCTCAGAAGGCAACCAATCGATGCTTCTCTCTCTCCATCCCCCACTTCCACTCTCTCTCTCTCTAAAAAAAAAAAAAAAAAAAAAAAACAATGGGGAAAAAATCCTCAGGTGAGGATTAACAAATAATAATAATCTATATATATAAAAGCCTAAGCGACCGTTACAACCGGGTGACCGGATGACCGGATAGTAGCTATGATGCACACTAATCACCAGGGGGCAGATGCTCAGCTCAGGAGCTGCCCCCTGATGGTCAGTTCGCTCCCACAGCCAACCTCCCACAGCAGGCCCACCTCCTGCATCCTCTCCCCACCCCCATCCCAGCCGGTCCCAATTGGCCCTGATCACCGGCCTGGCTGAGGGACCCCACCTGTGCACAAATTCATGCACCAGGCCTCTAGTAATAATAATAAAAATAATAATAATAATCTTTATTATAAAAGACCTGAGGCTGTCACACCCTAATGTGGAACAACCAAACAACCGGTCACCAGGAGGTACCAGAGCACCTCTTGGTCCCTCCCCCTGGCCCACAAGCCACTTGAGGCTCATGCAGCACCGTGGGACTCGAAGGGCAGGTCTGGGCCTCGCACGATTTCACGTGCTGGGCCTCTAGTAATAAATAAGAGACTATCCAGTACCAATCGGGTTTGTCAGCCAGGGGCTCACCAAAGTCATGGGAAAGCTGACCTCTTGCTAAGTGTCATGTTCTTGGGTAAGCACTTCTGATGTGTCATCTCACCAGGTCCTCCTGGAGAACATTTATCCTTGTTCCTCTTCCGCAGAGGAAGAGACCGAGGTTCCGAGAGCCCGTTCAATCACCCAAGGCCACACACGTGGCAAGTGCTGGGACCAGGCTTGTGCATGCACACCTGCCTGCCTCCGAAGCTTCTTTCTTCTCCATGACACTGTCCAGGACAAAAGGCGGGCTTTGGATGTGAGTGCGGGCCTGCTTCCATACAGAAAGTGCTTTCTGGGTCCAGACAACAGCCAGTTAGCTGCTTCCGTTTCTTCTTCTTCTTTTTTTTTTTTTTTTTTTTTTTTAATATATTTTATTGATTTTTTTACAGAGAGGAAAAGAGAGGGATAGAGAGTTAGAAACATCCATGCGAGAGAATCATTGATCAGCTGCCCCCTGCACGCCCCATACTGGGGATGTGCCCGCAACCAAGGTACATGCCCTTGACCGCAATCGAACCTGGGACCTTTCAGTCTGCAGGCCGATGCTCTATCCACTGAGCCAAACCGGTTTCAGCAGCACATTTATTTTATACCCCCAAATACCAGGAAGTACCATCAAAACTTAGGATCAAAGGAGCTTATTTGCATTCTCGAGTAGGCCCTAGCATCCCTGTTGCTTGTCTGGATTTACATATCTAGACCCGCCCCTGCCGACACCTGGGCTGATATGAAGGCCAAGCTGATCACGCTGTCCACCATCTTAGGGAAATGTGTATCCTAGATACGGCTCTGCCAGTCGCCTCGGACTCAGCTGACAACAATTTAAAGTAATGCCCGTGTGCCTTCCCAGGCGGCCCTCTACAGGGTGTGACTGGGGGACGATGGGAGTGGAAGACCCTGCAGAGCCTTGCAGCTCTAAGTAGCCAGGAATCTAAGAATTGTTTTGAAGACAAAAAGTGCCATTTGGGCAAAGAGTAGATCTCTTTGTGGGGGCGTTTAGGGATCCAGGGGGTCTGGCTCTGCGTCTTGTTGAATGATTTACCGAAGTCCCCAGACAACCCAGTGGCTCATTCTGGAGGCAAACTGCAGTAAGGTCCAGCTCCCTGCCTGCGGGGCCCAGCAGGGAGGTGCCGAACCCCAGCTGGCCCACTCTGTGCACCCCTGTCCACTGCAACCTCCGCTTCCTCGTTTTGTTTTGTTTTGTTAAATATATTTTTATTGAATTCAGAGAGGAAGGGAGAGGGAGAGAGAGAAACATCAGTGATGAGAGGGAATCACGGATCGGCTGCCTCCTGCAGGCCGTCTACTGGGGATGGAGCCCACAACCTGACCGGAATCAAACCACGACCTCCTGGTTCATAGGTCAATGCTCAACCACTGAGCCACCCCAGCCGTTTCAAGGACTTCAAGACATGTGCAGTGGGCGACGACAGCTCGGAAGAAATCCTTGAGAAAGAAGCAGAGCATCTTTAAGAAGCGTTGCATCGCCATGGCACACAGAATGGAATCTTGAAAAGCAACAACTCAGCCTGGCCGGGTGGCTCAGTCGGTTGGCTCATCGTCCTCCACACCAAAAGGTGGCGGGTTCAATCCCCGGTTGGAGGCAACCAATCAATGTTTCTCTCTCTTTCTCCCTTCCTCTCTCTAAATAGCAATTTTAAATGTTTTAACAAAATAAAGGTACATAGAACAATCACTACAATATAATGCAAAGTAGAGTTAAAGGAATCAGTCATCAATAGCAAAGAGCACACTTGGAGCCCCAGGCTTAGTTTCTTTAAAAATAAATTATATATATTGATTTCAGAGAGGAAGGGAGAGGGAGAGAGATAGAAACACCCATGATGAAAGAGAATCATTGATTGGCTGCCTCCTGCATGCCCCCCTCCTGGGCATCAAGCGGGCAACCCGGGCATGTTCCCTTGACTGGAATTGAACTGGGGACTCTTCAGTCCGCAGGCCGCTCTATCCACTGAGCCAAACTGGCTGGGGCCCAGTGCTTAGTTTCTAACATCATTCTCCAACAAATGGAGCCAGGGCTCCTCGGATAAATGACTGGTTCTAGGAACAACAGGAAATATACAAGACGTGTCTGGGACGTCTTATAGTGCTGGAAAAATAAGAAAGTGCTAAACCCCCCCACACACACACACACACACACACGCTGAGGGTGTGTCCAAAGATACAGGAGCCAACCAAAAGAGTATCTCACTTGTCCATCCCTCAGCCAATCACGGTGAGGAGAGGAAGGGCTTGTAACTGAATGGTAGCTTCTATTCTAAACTAGAGGCCTGGTGCATGAAATTCAGGGGGACGACACGGCAGTCCCCTTAGCCCAGGCTGCACCCTCTTCATTCCAGTACCCCTTGGGGATCAGCCTAAACCAGCAGTCAGACATCCCTCGCATAATCTGGGACTGCTGGCTCCTAACTGCTCACCTATCTGCCTGCCTGGTCGCCCCTAACTGCCCTCCCCTGCTGGCCTGGTTGCCCCTAACTGCCCTCCCCTGCTGGTCTGGTTGCCCCTAACTGCCCTCCCCTGCTGGTCTGGTTGCCCCTAACCACCTCTGCCTTGGCCCTCACCACCGTGGCTTTTTCCGGAAGGATGTCCAGAAGATATCTGGTCTCACTAGCGTATTACCCTTTTATTAGTATAGATAAGGAGGGTGGCGTTTCTGAGCTCCAATAAACAAATTGTCTTGGCTAACCTTATCATTAATTATTTTCCCTTTTATTGCTGGAACCTTGGAACAAGGAATGAAAGATTCAGGAATGAAAGAGACAGGAGAGTGTGGTCTCCAAAACCCAGCTAAGCACAGGCCCTTGCATACAGCAGGCGCCCAGCTCATGCTTAGTGAATGATGGGCTGCATTAATTCCCTGTTCCTAAAGCCTGTTTTGGGACGGCTCCCATTTCACAGATCAGGAGCGAAGCGGGGAAAGGAGCCCCGCCACCCGTGGGGTGCATCTCAGGACGCAGACACCTGCCCCCCGGAGTGGGGTGGGGAGGAGAAGGCAGAACCTTGCAGACCCTCCAACTCCCCGGGCAGAGCTGGGGGCGGGGCTTCAGGCAACTGTCTTTTGGATTGCACCATCTTCCTCCTGCTAGAGGGGGGGATCCGAGAAGTTCCTGGCACCTTCCCCCGGCCATCTGCCACTCCAGCCACAAAGACGATGGATTTGTTTCTCTAGCAACCATGCAGTTTCTCCTTATCTCATCCCGCCTCGACCGCTCCACGCGGCCACACATTTCAGGTTTCCCCCCCCCGGGCCACCCCGCAGTGGCTCTTCCCAGTTTGACGCATTGCAGGGAAGGCCGGGCCAATCGCCGCCGCGCTCTCATTTCCGCCGTGGCCGGGGCCCAATAGCGGCGCGGCTCTCACAGGGACGCGTAACGCGCAGCCCACCGTGCCCCTCCGCGGGGAGGGAGCGGGGAGGGCCCAGGGGGCGGGGCGCGCGGCGACGGAAAGTAGTCCCGCGACGGGTGCGCGCGCGCGCGTGCGCGGCCCGCGGCAAACCCGGGCCTGCGGCGGGCGGAAGCGGGAAATTCGCGGGGCCCGCGCGGCGGCGCGGAGAGGGGCGCGGAGGGATCCGCGGGAGGCGCAGTGCGGCCGCACGTGGGCCCGGCGCGGCGGGGCGGGGCGGGGCCGGGCGCGGCGGGCGGGGCGGGCGCGGCGGCCGTTGGGGGACCGTTGGGCGGGCGGCGGCGCGCGCTGCGGGCACTGAGTGTGGAGGCGCGGACGCGCGGTGGAGCTCGAGCTGCCGCAGCTGCTGCCGCCGCCGGAGGAACCTTGATCCCCGCGCCCCGGACACCCCGGCCTCGCCATGGTGAGTGAGGAGAGGGCGCTGCCCAGGCGGCGGGGGGGGGGGGCTCTGAATCGATCCCCGCGGAGCAAGACCCCCTAAGAGGGCGGCTGGACCCCGGAATGGGGGGGACCCCCGGGCCCGGGTGCTCGCCTCTGCTCCCCTTTCTGCTTCCCCATCGGGGGCATTGGAACCCAGAGCGGTCTGTGTGGGTGGTTGAGACCCCCAAACGGGCATCCGAGCCCTGTAGGGGGCGTTGGGACCCAGGGTGGAACGAGGGGACGGGTGGGTCCCCCAAAGGGCTTTTGAACCCAGGATGAGGCGTTAGGTCTCAGAGACGGGGGGGTGCTGGACCCCAGGGGTCGAGCTGAGCATCACTAGCCGGAAGGAGGCTATTGGGGCCCGGAGGGAGGGGGGCTTTGGGTCCTGGGAGGATGCAGGAGGAGGCTGGGGGCTGGGGAGCTCCCCCAGAAGGTGCGGGGGGGGGTGGGTTCGCTGGGCCTGGGTGGGGATGGGGGTGACTTCAGCACATCAAACCCTGGAGGACAGAGAGGGGGTTCTCCGGGGACCGGCATTGCAGAGGGTGGAGGTTAAAGGATGCTCCTGGGCCTGCGGGGATGGAAAGGGTTGCGGTTGGGGGGGGCGGGGTGATGGTTAAAGGGGGGGAGGGTGCATGAGTGATTTGGAGGCAGCCAGAAAGGGTTTGGGGGTTACTAGTGGGTCGAGGCTGTTGATCTAGGAAGGGGGGTTGGGTTGGGTTGGGGGGAAGGGAGGAGCGTTGGGTTTGGGTCCCAGGAGTCGGAGCCTTGCTCGGGGAGAGGTAGGTGGGGGAGGCCTGGGCGGGGCGGTGGGAGGAGGCGATGAGTGACAGCCGGGTGGGTCTGGGCTTGGAGGCAGATGGGGGTTCGCTCCCGGGGAGTCTCCAGGGAGAAGCGGGGACAAAGACTGCCGGGTCTGGGTGGGGAGTGGGCTGCACAGTGGGTAGGGAGGGGTTCTGCGGGGGCTGGTGGGGGGGGGCTCCCCAGGAAGAAGGGGCCGGTGACAGCCCCCATTGCGCACTGAAGCCACGTGAAGTGGGGGCGGGGATCGGAGCGGAGGGTGCATCACCTGAACCAGCTTTTGGAGCCCCAGCCTCGCCCTCACTGCCCCTGCAGACCAGAGCGGCCTTTCCCAGCAGGAGGCTGGCTCTGGGCTCCGGCTCCGCATCCCCCGCTCCCACAAATGACAGTGCAGTGCAGTGCAGTGCAGTGCGGCCTCCGTGCCTGTTCCGTGGCCTCGGGGCAGGAGGACCTCCGGAGGCACCTGCCTCAGCCCTCGGCCTCACGGCTGCTTCTGTTCATTCCCAGCGCCGGCCCAAGAGACCTAGCTTCTCCCTCCCAGCACCCTCAGCACCCAGCCTCCCCAGGCCTCCTCCCTGGCCAGGCGGAGGCCGGGGGTCTGGTCTCACCCGCTGGCACGGACTGGGGCCCCCCTGTCCCCGGCAGAGCCGCGCTGAAGGGCCGGGAGGCCCCGCCTCCCACACTGGCCCCGCTGGTTTCCCTTTCCGCCTGCAGCCAGCGGGGCTGGGAGCGCTCGGGCGGACTTTGGCCGGAGAGCTGTGCTCCTCCTCGGCCGGGTGAGGGGCCCCGGCCCTGGTCTCCGATCTCACCTCACACCGCCCTGGCGCTGCCCGGGGCTGGGCGAGGCCGAGATGCCTCCTCCCTCCCCCGCCCCACGGCATTTTCCTAGCCCAGCCCATTGCTGGAGCCCAGGAGGAGGAATAGGAAGCAGGAGCCCAGCTGGGTTATTGTAGAAGCAGTTTTGGTAGAAGCTTAGAATCTGCAGTTCTGGAAAGGGAAGCCGCCCTGAGGACGGTCCCCGCAGCCGGGCCTCGTGACCGCAGCCCCGGCAGCTCCGGCCTGGGGCGTCCTGCACCCGGCGGGCGGGGTCCCGGCCTGACCGGCCGAGGGCGGAGGGAGCCACACCTATTTGCAGCCTGGAGCGGGCTGGCAGCGCCTCTCTGCCTCAGCTCCTTCTAGAACCTGCCCAGCCTCCGCGCCCCGGCTCGGCCCCTGACAGCACTCCCGGGGCCGGAGGATTTGGCTGGGGCTGGCTCGCTTTCCCATCGAGGCCGGAGAGGATGGAGCAGGTGGCATGGCGGCCCTCTTCCCCGGCTGCCGCTCGGCTCTCCATCTTCCTCTCCCCTCCCCTCCCCTCCCCCGGCATCGCCTGGGCCCGTAACCAGAGCCCATCCTCCCGTCTCACGTTCCCCAGCAGCCTCCTCAGGTGGCGGGATCTGGGCATCAGCCCGGGCCCCTTTCCCCTCCGGAGCCAGGGCCCGAGGCGAGAGGGCCGTGGGCCTGAGTCTGTTGTTAATCCTCCCCTGAGGTACTTTTTCCAGTGCTTTTTCAAGGGGGGGGGCATTGGTGTGAGAGAGCCCTATCGACTGGTTGCCTCCCTCATGTTCCCCAACCGGGGGTGGGGAGCGAACCCACAATCCAGGTATGTGCCCTTGTCAGGAACCGGACCCGAGACCCTTTGGTCTGAGGGCTGGTGCTCTAACCACTGAGGGACATTCCCAGGGCCCAAGTTTTTTATATGTATTTTCGGGGATGGGGGCGGTAATCCTTACCCAAAGATATTTTCCCATTGATTTTTAGGGAGAGGGAAAGACAGAGAGAAACATCGATTGGTTGCCTCCTGCACAAACCCCAGCCAGGCCCGGGCCAGGGAGGAGCCTGCAACCAAGGTGCATGCCCTTGACCGGAATTGAACCTGGGACCCTTTGGTCCGCAGACCAACGCTCTATCCCCTGAGCCAAACCGGTGAGGGTGAGAGTCTTTTTAAGGCAATGCAGAAGTGTCTCCCTTTGGCCTCTGAACCTCTGTTTAGACTTTGGACTTTTCTAGAATGTGCATGTATTTCCTTCTTCCCCCTCCCTTAGCCATCTTGCCTCTCACCATCTCTTTGATTTCCTCTCCCTTAGATTCTGCCTATTTGGGGCTTGGCCTCAAATTCCCCTTCCCTTTGATTTAAGAGACAGAGAACATTTTAGACCGGTTTTAAGAACTGTGGCCATTTCTAATATTCAGGACGGGGTCGGGTCTGGGTAGTTTGCAGCTCCTGGGGCAGCCGGGGCCTCTCTCTGGCATAATGCAGGTGCGGTAGTTTCATCGGTTTGGGGGACTCGGAGAGCCTGCTGCGGACTTGGAGCCACTGTCTCCTCACTGTGAACGGAGGCCGGGAGGGAGCAGCGTCTGGACCCACAGGGGTCTGGGAAGGTGGTGCCTTCTTGGCCCCGTTCACAGAAGCCGAGGAAAATGTGCCTCTTTGCTGCCTAAATGGAGCTAAACGTGGGATCAGCCCCCACCTGAGTCCTCACACAGGATCCTGCACTTGGCTGGCTCCCAGCGCAAGGCTCTCCCCTACCCGCCCCCAAACCCCAGCCTCTCCCCCACCCGCCCCCAAACCCAGCCTCTCCCCCACCCCACCCCAAACCCCAGCCTCTCCCCCACCCCACCCCAAACCCCAGCCTCTCCCCCACCCGCCCCCAAACCCCAGCCTTTCCCCCACCCACCCCCAAACCCAGCCTCTCCCCCACCCCACCCCAAACCCCAGCCTTTCCCCCACCCCGCCCCCAAACCCCAGCCTCTCCCCCACCCCAAACCCCAGCCTCTCCCCCACCCCACCCCACCCCAAACCCCAGCCTCTCCCCCACCCCACCCCCAAACCCAGCCTCTCCCCCACCCCACCCCAAACCCCAGCCTCTCCCCCACCCCACCCCAAACCCCAGCCTTTCCCCCACCCCGCCCCCAAACCCCAGCCTCTCCCCCACCCGCCCCCAAACCCCAGCCTTTCCCCCACCCTAAACCCAGCCTCTCCCCCACCCCACCCCAAACCCCAGCCTCTCCCCCACCCGGCCCCAAACCCCAGCCTTTCCCCCACCCTAAACCCCAGCCTCTCCCCCACCCGGCCCCAAACCCCAGCCTCTCCCCCACCCCACCCCAAACCCCAGCCTCTCCCCCACCCGCCCCCAAACCCCAGCCTTTCCCCCACCCACCCCCAAACCCCAGCCTTTCCCCCACCCCGCCCCCAAACCCCAGCCTCTCCCCCACCCCACCCCAAACCCCAGCCTCTCCCCCCCTCCCCTAAACCCTGCCTGCAGCAGGAGCTGCCTGCCACCCACTGGCCCTTCCCAGCAGCCAGGCTGGAGAGGGTTAAAGACTGCAGCGCAGCGGGAGCTGATGTTAGTCCTGTAGCCTCTGCCGCCTCTGCTGCTGCCTCTGCTGCTGCCTGCCGCAGTCCCTCCTCCCTAAAAGCACAGAGCGGGCGATGCCCTGTGCATCCCCGTGTGCCAGGGAGCGGAGCGGCTGCCTCCAGCCTGACCAGGGTTCCTGCCGGCGCTCAGAGCCGCCGCTTGGGGGACGCGGCCAGTGGGTGCGCTGTGCTGGACTTAGCACCTCCCAGTAGCTGACACAGAGACGCACCCGTGGCCCTGCCCCGGACTGGCCTGCTTCGGTCTGGAGCTTCCAGAGCCGCTTGATGAAGCCTCTGGGCAGCTGCTCCCTTCACGCAGCCGGCTCCGCCGCAGCCCTGGCCAGGCAGTCGGCGCTGTGCGGGAGGAGGCCCCGCCCGCCCGCCCGCCCGCGGGGTCGGCTGCGGCCCGTGGAGCTGGCATCTCATGGGCCCCGTGTCGGGCCAGCCTGGTGTCCTGCCCACCCGAGTCCCCGCTTCTTGAATCACCAGACTTGATGCCAGGCCCTGGCTCTGCCTCAGACCCTAACTGACCCAGGTGCCCCCACGCCACGCAGAGCTGGCCTCTCCGGGGGCCGGGCAGGGCAAGGGGGTAGTCGTGGTGGCCACCAGCCCGGCGGCTGACTTTCTCCTTCCCACTTTTCCAGGCTGACCAGCTGACTGAGGAGCAGATCGCAGGTGAGCGTGCCTCTTCCCCGGGCAGGAGTGACCCCTGACAGACACCGTGTCCCCCATCGCTGGGGCGGTGCCTGAGCTTAGTGTTCTACCTGGTGGTGACCACCCCGTGGGCCGGTAGCACCACACCCCACGGTCCTGAGGCAGCACTAACCAGACCGCCAGAGCCGAGACCCCTCCTGGCTGCGGGTCATCCTGGGCCTTTTGATCAGTGGTTGCCGGGTGGACCCAGCTATGTGTCCCAGCTCAGCAGGTGGGCTCCTGCCTCCATCCCTCGGCAGGACTACCCAGCAGCTGGCCTCTCCTTCCACCCTCTGCACCTCCCTGCACACAGCACTCCCCGTTCTCCATCTCCGGTCACCTCGGAGAGGCCTGCCCTCATCCTCTGAAACAGCCTCCCTTTCCTCCTGTCAGGTCACTGTTTGCTTCCTTTCCTCCTGTCAGGTCACTCTTTATGCTGGGGCACTATTTTATGATGCCCTTACCTGCTGGGCCTCCACCCCTTGGAGCTGGGCTTTGTTTCCCTTGGTCCCTGGGACCTCAGTGCCTAGCACCTCGCAGGCGCTCCCTGTGTGTGTGTGTGTGTGTGTGTGTGTGTGTGTGTGTGTGTGTGTGTGTGTGCAGGCGCTCTGTACACGTGTGCAGGTGCACAGTTGAGCAGGGGCCCGCCACGTACCTCCCTGGTGTGCCCCCTCCTCCCGAAAGGCCGGAACGGCCGCAGCTGCAGGAACTGTGTGGCTGAGTGGCTTCCGGGTCCAGCTCTACCCCGGGCAGAGCTGCCTGAGGACAGAGACCGCCCCGGCGTCTCCGTAGCCACGGCCAGCACAGGCGGGAGAGGGGCCAGAGGATGGGCCCTCGGCCGCAGCAGCCCAGCCCGCAGCCCGCCGTCCGATTGGCTGGGCTGTGACAGTCCTGGACGCTCTGCTTCTACTCCTACCCCTTCCCCATCACACAGTCACACGGCCGGCTCCCACACATCAGCCCCAGCGGCTGCGGAGACCCACTGAGGCACCAGAGGACCGCCTTGTTCCGGAATCATGAGCTCAGGGCGCACACGTGACCCACTCGCAGCCCCCGTGCCCCCAAGAACAGCGAGGGAGGTCCGGCCTCCCCAAGGAGACAGACCGTGTCCCCAGGGCCCAGGGGCTCCCCTGCACCTGACGCCCAGCCCCCCTCCCCCGTTCCCATTAGCACACTGTCCCCCCTCACCCCCGCCCACGCCCTCTGGGAATAGGCTGCGGGCATCTGCTCTCGGGGGCTTGGGGGTAGAGTGCCAGGTGCCAAAACGGGCCCAGTGGGAGGGCAGCGCCACGTGCTCCTCCCGCTCCTGACGCGTCCCCAGCTGTGGCCTTCCCACTTATCCTCCTGCTTGGCAGCCGGCCCTTCCTCCCCTCCCCCGCCCCCACGCACCGGCCGGCCGGCAGCTGAGCTCTGCCAGGCGCCCGCTCTCCACGCAGCCGCTCGCTCCTCCCCCGGAAGCTGGTGCACCGGGCCCAGGGCCCCAGGGAGCGGGCTGGCAGTACGAGGCGAGGGACACTGCCAGTCGGGGGCGATCTGCAGCTTCCCCTCCCCGCCGTCCCCTCCCTGCCCAGCCCGCTGACCGTGGCTGGCACACGTTAGATGGAGGAGACTCCTGGCTCACCCCTCCATCACATTGGTCCATGTCATCTTCTGAGGGAGGGCCGGTCCAGAGGCCATAAGAAATGTGAAATCGTAGGACAGCCGGCCCCTTCCCTCTGTCCTCCCTGAGCGGGGGCAGGTGCTCAGCAAGTGCTAACGGGCCTGGGCTGGAGCCGCAGGCGGCTCTGGTGTCTGTAGGTGGGCACAGCCTCACCTCCAGGGAGTCAGCATCCCAGCATCAGGGCTTCCGCGGCCTCCAGCTCTGACTCCTCTCCTTTCGCCCCCAGAGTTCAAGGAGGCCTTCTCCCTTTTCGACAAGGACGGGGACGGCACCATCACCACCAAGGAGCTGGGCACGGTGATGCGGTCCCTGGGACAGAACCCCACCGAAGCGGAGCTGCAGGACATGATCAACGAGGTGGACGCGGATGGTGAGCCCCACTCCCCCCGCCCGCCCCGCGGGCACAGGGCCCTCCCGGGGCAGGGGTGTGGTCCTCCAGGCCGGGCCAGGGTGTCCCAACACCTTCTCCACCGCAGGGAACGGGACCATCGACTTCCCCGAGTTCCTGACCATGATGGCCAGAAAGATGAAGGACACCGACAGTGAGGAGGAGATCCGAGAGGCCTTCCGCGTCTTTGACAAGGTGAGCAGCCTCTCCCGGGGCGGCTCCGGGACGCGGGCTGGGGGCAGAGCAGGCGGGGCCCCAGGTGCACAGCACAACCGGAGCCCCTGAGTCACCGCCCCCAGGCCCCCCACCCCCCGCTGCCCCTCCTCTGCCTGCCTCTGCCTCCCGCTCAAAGCCTGTCCTGTGCCAATGCCAGGACGGCAACGGCTACATTAGTGCGGCAGAGCTGCGCCACGTGATGACGAACCTGGGTGAGAAGCTGACCGACGAGGAGGTGGACGAGATGATCAGAGAGGCCGACATCGACGGAGACGGCCAGGTCAATTATGAAGGTGAGCTGGCCCGGGGTCGGGCTCCGGGGTCGCTCCTGTCGGGGAGGGCCGCTCAGCCTGTCCCCGCTCCCTGCTGACCGCACTCTCCCGCTCTCCTTGCAGAGTTTGTACAGATGATGACCGCAAAGTGAAGGCCGGGGCAGCTGGCAATGCCCATTCTCCTGATCTCTCTTCGCGCGCTCTCTTCAACACTCCCCTGCGTTCCAGTTCTAGCAAACACCACTCGATTGACTGAGAGTCTGATAAACAACAAAAGATTTGTCCCAAGCTGCATGACTGCTCTTTCTCCTTCCTCCCTCATCTCCCCCACGCCCCTCATCTCTGCCTCGCCCTCCCTCTCCCAGCGGCCTCTGCCGGGGCCTGAGGCTTTTACAAGATGATTCCCCGTCCTCCTGGGGAGCCCCTGCCCTCCTCCAGCCCGGGTGGCTCTGTTTGGTTTGTTCCCTTCTGTTTGTCATCTTATTTGGGTGCCGGGGGCTTCCAGCCCCGTCCAGGGACCTGCCGGGAGGGGACACGGCCCGCGCCCAGGCAGAAAGCTCGCCTTTGTCTGTGCATGCAGCCCCCGTGTGCAAATCCCAGCAGCCTTTGGGACAGTGGTGCTGAGAGCGCTCCGGAGGGCGGGGGTGGGGGTGGATGTGGCTCCGGAGGGGGTTGGGCTGAGGGAGTCTTAGTCTCGGAAGCTGGCATTCTTTTCCCACTTGAGGGGCCAACTCAGAAAAGGACGGACCGCGGGGAGGCACGCGGACCCACTGGCTGATATTCCAGAACCCCCCGGTGGGCTTCCTGGCGCCGGTCTGGGTGGGACTGCTCGATCGGCCACTCTGCACACCGTACCTGCCCAGACCTGCGAGTTCCCGCGCGATGGCCAGCTGTTCTGTAAATACCTGGTGCTAACGCCCGCCCGCCCGCCCACAGGGGTGCCCGCCCGCCCACAGGTCCCCTCGAGGGGACCGGGTGGGGTCGCTTTGTCATACAGGTCACACTGTCGTTTCTTTATGCCCCTGAGAACGTTCAGCTTTATCAAAACCATGCCGGGCCAGCTGAAGGGTGGGAGCGGGAAGCGCCCACCACGCTCTCGAGAAAAAGCACCTGCAATAAACCAACCTGTGGGCCCGCGGCTCCGGCCAGCGCCCAGCGCGGGCTCTGCTTCCTGGCCAGCGGCCCCGCCCGCTTCTCGTGGTGACGTGGCTGCTCCCTCCGTTGCGCTGCCTCTGCCCTCCCCGCCTCCCCTGCCCCCCGCCTGCCCCCGCCCGCGGAGAGCATGATCCGTGACCTTGCTTCCGGCTTTCGCCTCTGGGACAAGTAAGTCAACGTGGGCAGCTCGGTTGTCTGGGTGGTTCTGTTCCGTCCTCCCCTTTTCTGTTCATTTCGTGTGCCCCTGCCCCCAGGCCGGTCACGTGGCTTTCTCTGGGGCCTGCCAGCTTTGAGAATCTTGTCACCCACCCTCTGGCACCCGCCTCCGGGGACGGGAGGGGGACGGGGCGTAGGGGGAGACCCGGCCAAGAGCTGAGGGAAAGGGCAGGTAGGCGTGAAGCTGTGGACATTTCGGAGTGTTTGGGTTTTGGTTTTGTTTTGTTTTTTTAAACCGGGCAATATTGTGTTCAGTTCAAGCTGTGAAGAAAAATATATATCAATGTTTTCCAATAAAATACAGTGACTACCTGATTGGCTCTGGCCCTCATCTTGGTTTCTGGGCCTGGAGCCCGCCGCCCTGGCCTGGAAGAGCCTTCGCTCCCTGCTTGCTCCGAGACTGGGCCTGGCCAAAACCGGTGTGGCTCAGCAGATGGAGCATCAGCCTGCGGACTGAAAGGTCCCAGGTTCGATTCCAGTCAAGGGCATGTACCTTGGTTGCAGGCACATCCCCAGTGGGGGGTGTGCAGGAGGCAGCTGATCAATGTTTCTCATGTTTCTGGCTCTCTATTCCTCTCTTTTCCTCTCTGTAAAAAATATATATATTTAAAAAAAAAAAAAAAAACTTGGCCTGGCCACTGCAGCCACGTAGGGATTCCGAGCCAGAGTTCGGATCCCAGCTGGACCGCAATCGCTGAAGGCTGGTCAGCCTTGAGTGGCCGCCACAGGCCAGCACAGGTGTGCACCTGGGCCGGAGACCAGCCCCCCCCTGGGTGGGGGACGTAGGACGTCGGCAAGACAAGAACTGAGGAGTGTCAGGCCCTGACGGCGGGTTCTCTGTCCCCTGGGGAAGGGGTGGCGTTCACGGAGGGAGCCGATGGCAGGCAGGTGCTCAGTGGTCCTGAGCTGGAGAGGGCACAGGACGGGGAGCTGAGAAACGAACAGCCAAGAGCAACTGCAAACTGCAGACAGCTCCTTAGCATCCCTGAGGTAAGGGGACAGGAAGAGCTGCGCCCTGGCCGTGTGGCTCGGTGCAGAGAGTAGACTGCAGGGTCCCAGGTTCAACTCCTGGTCAGGGCACATGCCCAGGTTGTGAGCTCAGTCACCAAGGGGGGGGCGTGCAGACGGCAGCCGATCAATGATGTTTCTATCTCCCTTTCTCTCTGAAATAAAACTTTTCTACCCAAAAGGGCTGCAGTCCAGCTGTGCTCTAGGGGAGGGATGTTACAATCTATGGGGCTGTTCCCACACACAGCACTCCTGTGCAAACCTGCCGCTCGCATCCACACTGACCACAGGCTGGGCAGGAGGCCACGGAGACGGAGCGGAGGGGTGAAGGACTCCACCTGGCCTTGGGAGGAGGGGAGCCTGGCAGGGCCCAACCGCAGGGGCCTTCCTGGTGTGGGCCAGGCCCCAGGGCCCCAGCTGCTTGGGGCCCCCCCCATTTTTTAAGTTTTTTTAGTATATTTTTATTGATTTCAGAGAGGAAGAGAAAGAAACATCAATGATGAGAGAAAATTAGTGACCAGCCACCTCCTGCACACCCCACACTGGGGATCGAACCTACAACCTGTGCATGTGCCCTGACCGGGAATTGAACCCTGACCTCCTGGTTCATGGGTCAATGTTCAACCACTGAGCCACACTGGCTGGGCAGCTGGCCGGTTTTAGAGTAAATGGTCATTTTCATACAAAGACGACCTCGGGCAGCCCAGGGACAGCGAGTGGACGTCCCCAGTCACCGCTGGGGTCTGAGATGGGAGCTGCCTTGGCAGCCAGGCCCGGGGGAGAGTCTGGCCTCGTTGCCGAGAGAAGATGGGCTTTGGTGACCCACAGAACGGGTTCTGGGCCCGGGCGTGCTCACTGAGCCATGGGCCACTTCTGTGAAGCAGTGACTCCCTTCTCTGGCCTCCGTTTACAAAATGAAGAATAGCCCTGGCTGGTTTGGCTCAGTGGATAGAGCATCGAACTGAAGGGGTCCTGGGCTCAATTCCGGTGAAAGGCACGCGATCAGGTTGTGGGTTCAATCCCCACTAGGGGGTGTACAGGAAGCAGCCCATCAATGATTCTCATCATTGATGTTTCTCTCTCCCTCTCTGAAATCAATAAAAATATATTTTTTAAAAATCTACCTAAGCCCTGGCTGGTTTGGCTCAGTGGATAAAGCATCGGCCTACGGACCGAAGGGTCCTGGGTTCAATTCTGGTCAGGGACACACACCCAGGGTTGTGGGCTTGATCCCCAGTGGGGGGCGTGCAGGAGGCAACTGGTCGGTTGTTCTCTCATCATTGATGTTTCTGTCTCTTCCTCTCCCTTTCTCTCTGAAATCAATAAAAATATATTTAAAAAATATATCTACCTAAGAAAAACAAAAATCCATCTCAGTCCTAGACGGTGTGGCTCAGTGGATAGAGTGTCAGCCCGCAGACTGAGGGTCTTGGTTTTGCTTCTGCTCAAGGGCACGTACCGTGTTTGCAGGCTCGATTCCTTTCCCTGGGATGCAACCAATCAATGTCTCTCACATCAATGTTCCTCTGTCTCTCCCACCCCCACTTTCTAAAAATCAGTGGGAAAATGTACTCTGCTGAGGATTAACAAAGTTTTGCCTATATATACACCTCGGAGGGCTGTGCAAACACTTTCTGGATATCTCATTTCTCACCCAGGCCAGAGTGAACCCCATTGAGACAATGCTGTGGCAGAGGCGTGAGGCGTGAGGCAGTCTGGGGATCTGACAGTGCGGGACTGAGGGCCCAGGCAGGCAAAGGCTCCTCACCGCACTTCCTGGAAACGCTGAGCTGGGCCTCAAAACCCCAGATAGTTCAGATCCCAATGCCCACGCCGCCACCCACAGCCTCTGGGGCCCACGTGGCTGCTGCCTATCATTCCCCCCCCCCACCTTGGGTGCTGTGTTTTGAAAAACTTTTACTTCCAGACAGGCCAAGTGATTAAATAATCATGACTTCCCTATCCCATTCTTTATTAATCAAAGACAGAGCACTCGGAGCTTCCAATGGGCTCGGGGAGCTGACTCCAGCCCAAAGCAGAGACGCAGGGGGAACCGTTTCCAGCTCAGGCCCACAGACCCGCGGCCCGGCCCACAGCCTGTCCTGACAATGTGACCGGACGAGGGGACACACCAGGAGGAGCCTAACCAGGGCCCAAGCGAGGGACATCCGGTTTCGCTCACCTCCCTGAGGGCAGTGGCCACTTCCAATGTCATTCCCAGTGCGACCAGCAGGTGGGGCAATGACTGCAGAAGTCCCCCTGAGCGGCAACGGCAGCGGGCAGCCAGGGTGTGTTGCGTGTTAGGCATGAGTCCCAATGACTAAAGAAATGACCTTAAAGACGAATAAAGTCTCCAAGGAAGAGTGATCGGTCCCTAGTGTGTCACTTCCTGACCCCCAGCCCAGCCTGGCACTTGTAGTAATTCTCACAGATCATGCTCTGTGCCCTCTCAGCGCATGTCTAGCTTGTAGCTTTGTTTGTTTGCTGCGTGTGAGTGTTAAGTGGTCACCCCGCTGCATCATGAGCCAGTCAGCCATGCTGCACCCGGCAGGCACACAGCAGCCCCGGGCCCAGAGCAGGCTCAGGGGGGTTTGCATTGAGTCAGTGAATGAAGCAGTCAATCCATGTTTCTATCTCCCTCTCCCGTCGTCTCTCTAAAAAAATAAAATAAAATAAAAATCAGCCAAAACCGGTTTAGCTCAGTGGATAGAGTGTCGGCCTGCGGACTGAAAGGTCCCAGGTTCGATTCTGGTCAAGGGCATGTACCGTGGTT